AGCGCTATTGGCGCGGGCACTGGACCGAGACAGTCAACGTGCTGGAGATCGGATAATTGAACAAAAATATCGTCAAAGTATGTTTGTGCAAAGCGTCGTAGTGGTCAAAATAGATGTAAGACCAATCGATTGAGCGTTGCTGGGGCACTGGATAGTCACTGTGGCATCACAAGCCACTCACATTACATACTGGATAGTGCACTTACAGCCGTCGAAGGGACGTCCTCTTCCTTCATAATTTTTTTGGCAATATTTATCGGCCAAATCTTGTTCAGTAAACTTTGAACAGCCGGACATACAACATCCTTACGAGGAATCAGCGTTTGCGCGAGAATCGTCTTGTTATGGGAGTGAAAGATACGTCAATTACCATTGGGTTTAGGCACGCAAAACGTCGGTGTGCTGTGGGAGGACTTAAAGAGATGATGGCGTCAAAGTACCCGGAAGATGTTTAGCGGGTAGTGGAGCTTTCAAACGCCTGAACAGAGGTACCAATCCAATCTTTCTGACTGGTGGGCAAGTATTTTGGCTCATATGGTAGACTTGATGAGATATTGCGAATACTCGCTGTATATGACGTTTGAGTATCTCCCAAATCGATCATACATCACATACAGAGGCACTGTACTTGAGTGACATATTCTTGCACAAGACCTTCAAGCTAGCGCGACGTGCCGTCGATCGGTCTAGAGTCTAGCAAAATCTCAGCTCACACTATTCCGAAGAGCAAATTCTCATCGCTATTTTAAAAAGATTAAACGTCTTTCAATAGCGATCTCAGCGGTGTCTCATTAGCGCGGTTCGATAGATAGCAAATGTATCCAGTCGAGCGATAGCCCCTGGGTCATATTTTGCGCTAATCTCAAGGGTATGTCTGAGTAGACATTATTGTACGCAGCAATTTTTTCTGACCAGAAGACTATTCAGACTCGGTCCTCGTTGACGACGAGTGCTTTCGGATGCAACACTTTGCCTTGTACATCGCACATAGGAAGCTTCGACATATTAGTACAGATGTATCGATGCCCGGAGGTTGAATCCAGCCGCAGGTTTCGAACCGAGAGAATTTTAAGAATAAATACTGCTTTGCTTTATCTAAGAGTATTGCATTTAAAGCTTAAGCACTAGGAGTGTAACCATATTCTGATGAACAAAAAAGGTATTCCACAAATGAGATTGAAGTTTTACTTTGACAGAATCATTTCGGGGCTATTGCAGCTTACGGGTTGGGACACCTTATGTCTACATTACCTGTTGGAATGATACAGAGACAATCAAGGTAAAGCACGCCTTACTAGCAAATGACACGCGGCCAGACCATCGTGCATACCATTACCTGCCCGTATGATCATATTTCAACACTGACATGGCTCAGCGAGACGTTGAGAATGGCGTGGATCCGCGGCAATCGTCAAACGGGTCATTCTGGATGAGCCAAGCTGCTAACAATGAGAACTGTCATAATATATCTGACAGTCTCGATTTGGCATCTCACCGAGAGACACAAGGAACAGCCGATCGCTAAAATGATGCTTTACTTATCCTCGGCAGGAGTTGTGCACTCCGCACTAATTTCCCACAGTAGAAAGCGTGACGAAAACCCGCAAGCTCAATCAGATCCAGCGAGACAAGTATTTAATCTACAAACACAAAAATCACAAATGTTTACCAAACCGACCACGTCGTCAGTTTAATACATCGAGAAAACTGAAGAGAGATACAAGCATTTGAACTATGTAGGTCGCCATTCTTAGAGGTATCGCCTAGGAAAGAGCAACAGCGGTCGGGTAAATCCGATCCACCGTTTTTTCATACTGAATGCTAGAAAAAAAGCCGTCAAAATTCATATCCAATTCGCACACTGACCTAGGAAGGCATGTCGCCTTAACTGATTTAAATATTCTCAGGCCATTTTGGGCTATAATGCAGCGTCGTTTAATGTCTAACGTTGTGAAGTACACAGCGCGATATCGACGATAAGACGGATGCTTTCCGCCTTGATACGTGCTGTCGACTGTAAGTAGTACAGTGATGAAGGCTTCCGGTGCCGCTAGTTCATCGCTCATAGAGCTCTTCATTATCTGCAGCTGTTTCGCCAGGGGCGGACACCACAGGAATAGTTGTACAAGGGCGCCGCCTCTTTGAGCACGAAGTCGAGTGTGGTACGTATCCACCGGGATTTCTTGAGGAACCAAGAAGCGAGCTCGGAGAGCTTTTCGTTCGTCAAGCTCAGCTTCTTTAGTGACCGGGGACCCGACTACGTAAATGGTTAACGATCGAGTGATCGCGTCCTTTCCTTCTGTAGCGGGATCCGCTATGCGAAAGCCGTATAGCCCACGAGGGGCATGGACCGACTGTAGATGCGCGCGCATGGGAGCCGCCCTGCGGACAGCATCCAGCTGTTGCTTCTGTGCCTCGACGAGGCCATCGGTAATGACATCAGTTCCCCCAGAAGTCGAGAGGCCGAGAAGTAGACACGGCGTCCTCAAGGGTCGAGCAAGGCTCACGTCGCGCCGCTGGGGCACCTCGCCCTCTTCTTCTTCCCATCCTAAGATAGGAGTATTCGACCCTTTGTCGACTTTCTCCAAATTTTTGACGTGGTAATCCATCGCCCGTGGCGGGCGCGGTGCGCGGACGGGGGTAGACATCGCGTCTGTGTCTTCGGTTATGCGACCCAGTCGCTGGCAATACGCTGCGCGGTGTCGTTACCGGGCTTGGGCTGTGCTTTTCTTAAAACCGCGGACGTG